CTTCTGACAAACCTGCATAGTCATAGTACATCAGGTGAAACAAATCGGTTTAACCTATATCTACTACGCCACTTGCCGTCGCTTATTTATTGAGGGCTGTCACGTGTCGTGTGGGCGATCCATTTTATGGCCTGCTCCATGGGTATCTGAGCACATACACTCACCAAGTTTTATGAGCACGCGCGTGTATCACTCGTTTCGGTAAATGGACTACCGCATCGATGCATCGTGGATCGATAAGATGGCAGCCCTTATCATCAAGCTCATGCGTTTACATGGCTGGCAATGCCTTGCGCAAGCCCTCTATGCAGAGAAAGTGAGATAGGGAGCGAAATACACTTTATTTTAAAGGTGAATATCCACAATTTTCAGTGAAAATGGCTACATTCACTGAGACCAAGGGGTAATAAAATAAAATAATCAAAATCGAGAGGTTTACATGAAATCCACATCTATTATGGAGACAGATCTAATTTCAGATTTTGGATTTCCATTTACACGTGAGGTAACGTGCTAGGAATGGGAGTACAGATTGCTGATATGCCGACGTACGGTGATAAATATGTCGCATAGTACGGGAAGACTTCGTAGCCATTAGTTCAGAGTGAAGTGGATGAGCAACCTCATGGAGAATGTGATCAGCAAACTGCTTGACCGTTTTAAAGCGTCGCTCTATTATGAGATAAAATAAAAAGGCATAGGAAACACCGGCAGCTGAAGAGAGCATTCGGAGGATACGTTTACTAATGACCACGTCTTTTTTTAAGTAAAGCTAGAAAAATAACTGGAGAGCAGTTCAGAGTAAGGAGGAGAATGCAGGCCTTTATAAATTGCCAGATTAGGGCTCGCAGTTTGCGATCATAGAGTAACACCAAGGTGCCGGAAAGAGGATATCTCGTTGGACAGAAAAGTACAGTCGAAAAATATACTGGACTGTCTACCGCTCGTTAAGTGGAAGGCCATTTGCTGACGACCATGCTGAGACGGGGTCCAGGCCATCCTTCAGTACTTGGAGATGCACCCGACTTTTGAGAGGATG